GTATATCGCCAATTTTGTCGCCAAATATCGCCAAATGGGCGATTTCTTGCCAAATGTGGCAACCCTGCCTTTTCTTGCCATTTTATGGCAATCCTAACCTTCTTTGCGGTGCGGGGAAGCTATCTCACCGCGCCTGTACATTTCGTAAGTGTAATGTTATCAAATCACCATTTACGCATTGATAGCCTCATAGAATTAAATCAGTAAAAATGCATCGAAAAAATACGTATTTTGCAAAAATCATTCTTTTTCTTTTTCATTTCCTGCAAAAATAAGATATCCTAGGAGTTTGATCTCCTTGTTTAGAAGAGTATTTAAAATGCATTACTTGCTTAATATTGGCCATTTTTTCGTTGTTTTCTACTTAAAATTACTCTGTTAAAGGGAGATGCAAATAATGAATGCATATGAAGCTGAAATTTATAGAAACGGGAAATAAGCTAGCACATTTAGCCACTGAAAAATTAAACTTAACTCTTCTGCAACTACATATGTACTTATTCTTAATTATTCCGAACTAGAAAATTATAAACCAATAAAAATGTATAGTTTCGCTTTTAATTATATTTAATAATAATAAGTAGTATGACATATAATAAGACGAATATGTAATAAGAAGTATATTAATGTATAACATATGCAATAATAAGTATATTAAATGTATTAATATATGTAATAATAAGTATAAGAATAAGCATATGCAATAAAATAAGGTTTAGTCTTAATTGCATTTTAAAATTATACATAAATGTAATTACGTTTAGATGCAAATAAAAAAAAAAGAAAATAAGGAAATTTTATTTTTAATTTCTAGGTTAACAATTGATCTAGAAAACATTTGATAGTATTTCATTTAATTTCTAGGGTAACAATTGAAAGTGGCCTTAATTTCTGATGCGGATCTATCATCGAATGTAAAATCCGTCTTTTTCCCAATTATACCACGAGGAATACGAAGTGCCTCTTAGAATTGATAGCATGTTAGAATTAAACATTTTTTTTTTCATTATTAATTATTTTGAAATAATAAACGTTTTCAGTCACTAAATTAAAGATGCTATTTTTGTTGATAAATCAATGTCCACTATTAAGAAATATTTTCTAGACCTGTTTTACAGTTTTATTTAATTATTTCATTTTATTAGAACCAAAGCCTTTTCTATGCCAGTGGATTCAAATTAAGGGTGTGTCTTAAAATCGACAGCGCTTTAGAATCATAGAAATGCGTATTAGAGCACTGAAGTGTGCAAATACTGTTGTAAACATAAAAAAAAAAAAAAAAAAAAAAAAAAAAAAAAAAAAAAAAAAAAATTAAGAAAGTAATAATCACCATACTAATGAGTTATTTTCTGTAAATTCTTTATTAAAGAGGCGCTTAATTTCACTTGTCCGGCATCATTACAAGTTAAACAGGACTGATATTTTTATATGAGCAGAGAACCTGCTTGCGATTAAAACAAGAAATGAAATTTTTGAAAAATGTTTGTTACTTGACTCTAACGCGCTTTTTCGATGTGTGACTTAAATTAGTCCTTTTGTTGCACAGGTTTTAGCAGTAACTTAAAACTCTTTATTCCTGAAATAATTTCATTTTCTGTAACATAACATCATACGTCACCGGACCGACCAATGGCCAAGCTGCTTAAATTACTGAACTCCAGAGATTATGGCTTCAATTATGGTAATAAAGTCAGAAGGTTTCTTTTATATTAATATAAAGGCATAAACAGAGGTTAGTTTATAAAAGCTATAAGGTAAAACCAGGCTGAAAGAATGCAAATAATTAATTATGATAAAGCCATGAAGATCTCTGGGTATTCTGGGTATAATTCATGTGGAGTAATATTACTTGTCTTTCATATGCAGTTTTACGCCTGGACATCTGATAAATGATAGCAGTGTTAAGTGAGGATAAATTTTATTACATCATAAAACTATCTTATTTCGTTTGAGATTTAATATGATTAAAATTTATGTCTTCGATTTTATTTCATATCATATCAATGACCAACTTTTTTTGCATTTTATAGATTCATTTCCACACTCGGAGATTCACTTATAAAAGACTGCACATTGTATTTCATTTGTATATGTTTATGAATTTATAGCAAAATCTAAGAACTATATTTAACTGTGGAGTTTAGAAATAAGACATACATCTGAAATAAAAATACTTTAAAATGTAATAAAAATTAAGGAAAAAAAAAGGCTCGAATAGCGACAAGTGAATCCTTCTGAAACAAAATTAAATATTTCCGAAATTTGAATTTTACAGTGAACTTTTTCATTCTATCTTGGCAACGAAAGGAAAAATCAGCATTTTATTTATTTTTAAAATAATATTAAACAAGTATTTATTTATTTTTAAAATAAATAAGCAGTATTTTATTTATTTTTAAAATAAATAAAATACTGCTTTTTTTATCCATTTTTGCTTCGTTGCTTTTCCTAAAAAGTTCATTTTAATTATCCAAGCGAAAGATTTCCCTGCAGTCACATCATTTAGAAAGCAATGAAGATGAATACTTTGCATAAAGAGCAAAAAGTAATTTCCTAGAGTCATTAAAGTCTCCGAAAAATCTCGAATTTCACCCTGCTGTCCATTTCTTTTCCGGGCTTCAACCCAATTAATTTTGGGGGTAAAAGACGAGAACTGGAAATAACCGTATGCGTCCTGTTGAGATAAAAATTACATTTATTTTAACGAAACACGTTGGACTTCAATAAAAATATAACTGAAATATTTAACATTGCACCTTATTCTTTAAATCAAAATTTACATCTTAAAACGAATTAACTATCATTTCTGTTAGGTTTGGGTCTTTTAGATGCTCCTACCACAATTTGCATTTTATTATGCAGAAGGCTCTAGCAATTGTTAGTAGATTGCAGTAGTATATTATGTGCCATAAAATATTGATAACAGTTCCTCATGACTTACAGGCATATGGACATTGCACTCCCCCAGGTCGTGAAGAGTTAAACGTAAAATGACTGTGCTATTCCAGACGCCATGCAAATCAAACCGTGTTAGCTCGAGATGAATCCAGTTCGAAACTCAATTTAATTTTAAAACAAGAGTATTGGTTTCCATGTTTGTTTTTGGATCCTAAAATGGAATTCAAGAAGTAACGTTAAAATATCAGCAAAAATAGCATTACCATTCAAATGAAAAGAAAGGGAATTCTTATAAAGAATTAGAAAATGTATGCTGTTGCATTATTTTATGATTATTACAGCATATTCCGGAGTATAACGCGGATACGAAAACAACTTTGGATACAAGAAATGAGATCGAAATTTACGGCTATGACGGATATAAAAATAAAGAAGAGACGAACATACAAAAATTTGATTTCTAAGCGTATCTAGATGCTGTTACTAGCGATTCTGGCAATTTTATAGGACCCATTTTGCAACTCTGTCATCTAGGATAGGGCATTTCGTTACGCCTTTTCGCAAATCACATTCATTCTGTAGCTCATTAATTATTTTGATATCGTTTTTCTTCTACTCACGTATGTAACCGATGCCAAGCATCCCTGCTGCGACTCGATTTCCATTTCCTTTCGCAAACTGAACAACTTTGCATTTGAAATCAGCACTGTGGTTATTTCGTTTGGCAGGAGCCATACTTACTACTAAAAGGAATACTAGACAAATTGTATTTCAGCTCAATCAAATGCGATTTGCTGAAGCCTTCACGTCAAAATCACGGTTTCAAAGACTACAAAAAGAGAAAACAGCTGAGTCCTAATTTTGCGATTTCATTCGTGTCAGAAGGATACTTGCATACGAAATTATTTGCCACTTTCCTCGAAACCCTAGAATAACATCCTTGTGCACACCTCAATTGAATACAACCTACCCTCTTTGCAGAATTATTTATTCACTCAAGCATCTCCTCCATATACATACTGTTCCCCTTATCGCTTGTTAATTCAGTATACCATTGTTCGAAAACCTGAGAAAAATCTTCGAATGAACGACTTCGAAGGATAACAACCTCGCCCATGTATCTTTCAGGTTTTGTCGTAAAGCAAACAGCGCGCGTTATACAGTGAATATATCTAAAAATAAAAAAAATGTAGTTTGTAATTATAGTTTCGCGTAATAAGCCGGAATATACGGTATTAGCTTTTTTATATGATTCTGACAATAGGGCACTGGTGAGAGATAGAGATTATTCCTGCAGAGATTATACCTAACATATTCGTAGCGAATTGCGTGCCTGAAATTCACAGAATGTGCGAAAACGTAAGATGTAAATCCCGTAGCTTTAGAGAGGGGGATATATGAATCCTTATACACGAGTCCTTATACATGAATAAAGATAATGAGTCCTTTGTCTATCATAAACATAAGTAGTTATCACTATAGGGCTCTTTAGTTCAAGGACACTTTTCTTGCACTTTGGACATAATGTTAGACATAACCCATTTATCTTGAGAAAACAATCCGGGGAACAGTCATATGGACTTTATGTCAAAACTATAAGTAACGCTAAACTGCGTACTCTGGGATTCCTTCCACAATTCCCGAACTAGATACACTGAAGGAACTCCGAGAAGCAGTGACGTTGAAGCAGTGAGCTCTGCTGATTTAGCTTCCTCACAAAGTAGTTAGCCAGTTTTGAATTATGTTTTAGATTATAGAACCTATCCAGTTTCTACTCAGTTTTGAACTATCCAGTTTTGAATTCACTTTTATGTTATCCCCTTTTCAGTCCTGCGCAAATGTAAATAGAATGCTGATATCTAGCAATATATTATATATAAGTTTTTGAAAATATTTGTTTTATTTTTCATAATTTAGTTTTCATGTAGTTTTGTCTTGCGTAGTGTTTATATTTCTAACTCATTGTTACTATTTCTGTATTATTTTATCTTTCTGTTTTACGTTTTGCATGAAACTTTTATATTTCTTCAGTATACTCTAATTTTGCGTCTGTGGCCATTTCTTGTGTTTTTATGTGTTTATATCATGTTTCTTCGTTGCAGATCTTCTAATTTCAAGCCAATTGTCATTTCAGTTGGAAAGATAGAACAGAAAATATGGCCAGAAACCCCTCAAGTATGCTTTTGTGAAAACTGTTGCAGCCCCATTTGTGAGATTTGGTAATTCCTTGCCAACTTGACGATATTTTAAAAACATTTCTGAAAAATTACTTTTCAAAACATTGGGGCCGATTTTTCTCCGAATTTCGATATATGCTTTCCATTGAAAAAATAAATAAGAGATTGCAGTTGCCATAAGTTAATTAGTTCAGTTTAGCATTTACGCTCTTGAGCGTCTTATTCAATGTTTACTGCTTCCAGCTTTGCTGTGCAAATAATTTTGATATGTGATATTCCTCACATGTTAAAGAGAACTCGTCTTGTCTCTGTTGTTTCTCTCCTTGTATTACTATTTGCCTTGCTCGTATAAGCTGATGTTTATCTAAATAAAGATTCAGATATCTCTGGCCTGTTTACTCAAAGTGATCTCCTTAAATCAACATGCGATAGAAATGCCTTTCGTCAATTATGTCAATAATGTAAACGTTAATCAAACAGTAAAAATAGAAAATTAATAATACTATGAAGTAAAAGGTGAATTTTTATCTTATGTTGGTACATAAAAATATTTCTGTTTCTCACATCTAGCGCAGAACTGCCTCACCAGTTGCCAGGTGATTAAAACCGTTTAGTGTTGGGAGTTTGACCTGTGTTTTATTCCAGACGAACGGGGAGCTGAATGGTCAGCTTTTGTTGTCCTCCCCCCCCGTGTGACGTGAACAGAGCCAGTTACCCTTACAAAGCCCTCCACGAAAGCAGGCCTCTCCTCGACCTCCCTCCTGTGCTTTACCTTTATTCAGATAATTTAACCAAGAGCTAAGATTATCTTGTTGACTACAGAATTTACAACAGCATAGCATATTTATACAAACTACGTATTTTAAGAGCTTTAAACCGCGAGAAATGAAACCGGAATAATTATTACGAGCAAAAATATAACCGAAGTAATTTACCCGGCAACGCAAAAGGATGGCATTATAATGTATTCCCCCTTCCTTTCTGCATTCGTTCATGGTGTCACGGTAGCACATTCGGAACGTATTCGAGAGGTCTAGGTTCAAGTGCCTGCTAGTGCATTGCTCATTTTCATGTCTTCTATTTCAGAATAACATCAATGACTCTACAGTGGCGCCCGAACAAAAAGGTGGTGGACAATGATTCTTCACCACCAGGAGTTGGCGACTGTGTCCCCTAATCCCTAGTCTCCCTTTAAAAGGGGGAGTATATAAAGTATTTTTTCCATCATTTCTGCCTGCCTTTGTGGTGTAATGGTAGTACACTCGGTGCATATTGAGAGTTCCAAATTCGAGCCCCGGCGAGGGCATTTCTCATTTTTCATATCGGTTTGCTTCAAAATAACGTAATGACTCTACAGCATTTGTTATTTCCAGCATGATAACGCAGAATCGTGAATCTAGAAGTGTAATGATAAAATTGCCAGAAGGCTTTTATGTACAACATAGAGTGCAACGTAAAAACAGAGCAGTAATAAAGCTAAAATATTTGGAATTTGAAAGAATGATTTGCTGTTCGAAAAAGGTATTTCTCTTGAAAGATAAAAAATTCTGGTCGTTATCATCTCGAAATTTCTACAGGGCCAGGACTGAGAATAATCATACGTAACATGGAAAAATGAATACTGTATTAAGAAATGCAGATAAAAACATTCATTCCGATTTAGTATTCACCTACAAAAATTTTTTTCTAAATCGTTTATATTATATTCTTGCCAATTTTAAGAAAAGATTCTATCCTAAATAGAAATGAAGCGCTGTTGCTATCGTACTCAGCATTAAGACCTTTTGTTCACCTTCTGTTAAGGCAGGACGTTATGATAAAATTCTCTCGCAGAGTTTCCCGAATGAATACCTCTTTACTGTATAATACGATGATAAAATATTTGATTTTTAATTAGCTGTTTACTAAGCATAAGCAAAAGTGCAGCTCTCTATCAAAATTAGAAATATGTAAGAACTCAACGACTAAAATATCAGAGGAAAGCATGAGCTTGTGGTGATTGGTGGTTTTGGTTTCATGGGTTGGTTTTCAGAGTTCTAAATCGTGGACAACTGTACAATTAAACTGTGATATTTTTTAATGATCAATGAAAAGCTTATTAATAATTAATGACATTAAGAATAATGTCACCAACATAAATTGACAGTCATGTACTATTTATATGGAGGCAGTAAGGATATGATAGGTGGTTTTTCAAAAGTTAAACATAATTAATTGCCTTCATTATCTGAAACAGCGTTCTTATTAACAAAACAGTTTTCGCAATTGTCCTTTCTAGTACAGGATTTCAGAGCCTTCTATCTAGTATATTTTTCAAACTTAATCAGTCGGTTACGGCCGAAAACATCGCGGACGAAAACGTCGCAGTGAAAACAATGCAAGGAGAAAACCTCGTGATACAAAACATCATGGGAGAAAAGAAAGCAAAGAGAAAACATCGCAGTCCTAAAACATCGTGGTACAAAATATCGTCGTCGAAACTACAGCGGTTCAAAATCTTCGCAGTTTAAAAACATAGTCGTCGAAATTTTTGTGGTAAAAAATAAAGTACCTATAAAATCGTCACATAACGATAATATCGCACAAATGCGTTTTTCAGGTTTTAAAAGTTGTTAAATGCATATTCGCTTAAAGATTTGGAAGCGCAAGAAATGTTAACGGAACTTTAAGAATAAACGGAAACAAAACAAGACATAATTTTTGCCCCGTACAATATCAGATTAACAACATGAAAGAAAGTAATCTGATAATTAACTAAGCAATTTTTATAGAGGTAACCTCATGCAGTTATTTATCTTCCTTTTTCTAAACATTATAAGCTGTATTTTTCATGAAACGTTATGAGTAAAACTTTATAAAAAGGTTTAGTTTATTAATGACCTTTGTTAATTAACTATGTATATTGAAAATTCTACTCAATGCTATAAATTGCAATAATTTTCTACTCATTTACAATTTTTAAATGCTTAAGTTTCCTTGTTACGTTTTCAGCAAAAATTTATTAGTTCACTCAAAAATATGAAATATAAAAATAAAAATATCCAACTTTCCTTCTTGTGCTTCCAAATAATTATGCAAAAATGCATTTACAGCTTTAAAACTTGAAAAACGCATGTGTGCGATGTTATCGCCATGCAACGATTTGTAGGTACTTTATTTTTTACCACGATATTTTCGACGACGATGTTTTTGAACCGCTTTAGTTTCGACGACGATGTTTTTGAACCGCTTTAGTTTCGACGACGATATTTTGTACCGCGATGCTTTAGAACTACGATGTTTTCTCTTTGCTTTCATTTCTCTCATGATGTTTTGTATCACGACGTTTTCTTCTTGCGTTGTGTTCTCCGGGACATTTCCGTTCGCGATGTTTTCGGCGGACACCAATCAGTCATTTCCTTTCACGTTTTTTGTAATGTTTCAAGTCCTCTAAAATCGTTGTTGATTGAACACTGTATAAGATTTGGTTTCGTTTATTTAATTATCTAAAACACTAGAGGGCTATCTGCCTAAGGAGATGGACACTTTCGTGGAGGACTTTTCAAGGGAAATTGCTCATATACACGTTACACATGGGGGGAAAACCACAAAAACACCCATTCAGCCTGCCCGTTCGCCATGATTCGAATCCCGGACCGAACTACGACTGTTCAGCGACTTTAACACTCGGACGCTAGTAGGCCGACGTTATGCGAGAAGCGACTAAGAACTGGTTAATGATCCATCTGAAATCGAGGGGTTTAGTGATAGACGTATCTGTAGATTGATGAGATTCTTGACACCTCTTGTTAAATTACGAAATTTGTAATCTCAAGTTGAGATTTGGGTGAAGTTATTACTATTGTTGCATTAGAGCATATCGTCTCCCACCTCTTAAAACGTTTCGACTGTTTAGCCCAGCTTTTACATTGCAACCAGAATAGAATACATACATAAAATTTCTAATCTTCATGCGGATCGCCATAAACTTCATATTCTGAGTAAAGAATTCTGAGTAAAGAAGTTAGAATAACGCAAAGAATAATAATAAAAGAATAATAAAATAATAAAAGAATGTTAGAATAATGCAAAATACATAAAACGAAATTTTAGTTTAATTCCGGTTGTCGATGAATTCACATTCAGTGCTTAATATTTTTTATATATTATGTAACAGAACGTAGTCCTTTCTCCAACTATATTTTTTACACAGTGAATTCCTTTACAAATCCCTTTTCCTAATATTCTTTTACAAATGTAAAAAAGGATATTCCCAAATATTTTCTGCTTCATACTTGACAACTAAAAGTGTTCCAAAGTAAACACCCAATTGAAAATGTTCATGCATAGCTGAAATATATGATGTGTTAAAGAAGTTGTATGATGAAGTTAATATGATGTGTTAAAGAAGTTGTATACAATAATTTATGTTAAAAATTTTTAAAAAATTTAACATTGAATTAATAGGAATTCTTGACACAAAAAAGGTATAAAGAGCAAACACTATGTCTCTAAATCAGAACTTTCAGACATAGTAATTAGAAAAGTTTTTTTTAAATAAAGCAAATAGTAGCAGAAACAAATCTAAAAAATATCAAATTATGACAAATCTTGTGCTCCAGAAAGTAAATGTAAAGGGAAGCATTACAAAAAATAATGTAAACTGAAGGTGATTATCATTACAAATATTGTAAACGATAGTTGGAATCTCTTGTAACGGTTTGTGTCCTTTTCTGAGGTTAGAAACGTTCGAAACACTTCTGCGCTCGCCGGGATTTAAACCATGAATTAAAACATTTGTTAGCTATACGCGCTAAACATTTACAATAAAATGTAAGCATGACAAGGCTATGGTGTAAAATTATGTTTGTGTTTACTTTTGCTGAATAAATGCATTGATTACTTTCGGGTTTTAACCGCTTCCCCGTCCTACCGAATTCGTTTGCTTTCAAAGATAAATTTCTATACCTGAAACTGAGCAGTATTTCTTCCCTGCTTTTACCAGTTGCCAAGATCATATATAAAAAACTGAATACTCATCTCCTTGCTCAAGAGAAAAATTTCTTTTGTGTTTCCTAGTTTCTTATCTGAAAATTAGCAAATACGATTCTCTAAAGCACGCGTTTAAATGAATAGTAGTTCCATTGCAGTACCAGCTGAAAGGGATCCGAAGTACATTCCCGATTTCCGTCTTTGTAAGTGAACTTACCTTTGTGCTATCTTGGCACAGGCCCACTGTCCAAATAACCCTCGCCTTTAACTGCGTTCTGAGATGTGGTGGAAAACACGAAGTAACGAGTGTCTTTTGGGATAACGATCCAGAACACATTTATCCCTGCCTGTTTATAACGTTGTAACGCTTGACGACAGTTTTTAAATCGGCGAGTTTTTAAAAACGTTGAAGTGGTCAATCATTTA